TGCAGTCAGCATGAAACTGGCTGTAACCTCAAAGACAGAAATATCCTGACTTGGGGGCACTGCAGGTATGGACAAACCTCCGGTCTGGGGGAACCCTGCCAATATTAAATTTTCTTTTAAAACTGCTTTGTCTCTTTTTCATTTCCTTATGCAGAAAATTTTTCAGTATACAGTGGCATCTTGTACCTGCCATAGCCAGGAGTTGTCTGGAAGCCCTGAGCCTAACTGGAAGAGATGCTACAAACAGCCTTGGGTGCCGGTGAAGGGGAATCTTTTTCCCCCTCAGGAGCACCACCAGGGCAGACAAGAGAAACAGCTTACAGTTTTGTAACCTGCTAGTAAAACCCTGGAGGACATTGCCTAGAGGTAAAGCCTCACCGTTCTGCAGGAGCAACGTGCTGCCCGCACCCCACTGGCCTCCCTTCTTCTCTCTCCCACTCCCCTCCAGGCTGATCCCTATGGGCAAACCCCTTTTCCCCCCACCCTCGATTCCCTAGGACACAAGATTAGAGGAGCTTGCCCCACAGACGCTTCACTTTCCCCCAAAATCCACAGGCTCTGTGCCATACCTTCTCTACTCTGCCCTTGGGAGTTGTCTGTGGGAGGGGGGCTCTAAAAATGGCCAGTGCTGTGCAATTTATATTCTAACAGAAAAGTTAGCTCTAAGTTTCTACCCATGATTAATAATCCCCAAAGAAAATCTTAATGCATATAGATCCTAATGCACCAATTTGCTTTTTATTTGAAACTTTTTTCCAGTTAGTCTGCCTTGATAGTGCAGAGGAGAGAGCTGCCACAAGGTATGTGGCTTAATTACTCAACTATCAGATCAGTGGCAATATGTTAATTCAGCAGGTGTCAATGGGCTGACAGGTAGCATCCAATTCCTGTATAACTCTTCTTTTTATTGAACATTTTTATGCAGTGGGGTTGTAGCCAATATTGGCTGTCACTGTTTGATAGCTCTCTGGAACTGGAGACCTTTAATTGCTTGCATCTGATTAAGTTAACAGCAAATACTAAAAGCTGGTTTTGATCACAAGAAGAAAACATGATTCAGACCCTTCCAGCTGATGCCAATTCTGCAGAAATATTTCCCCTCTGCACAGTGCAGTAGGAGAAAGATGTTTTTAAAAATCTTTCATCTGTCTTGTTGTAGTTCAAGTCCTGGGACCTGATTTTGCTGGAGCAATACTCCCTTGGGGAGTTGTGGCTGCACTGGTCCTACTAAAATGGGCTCTTTCAGGTTCCCCACTGTTTCTTACTGTAAAGTCTGTTGGGTAGAATTAAAAATGTAATGCGTGATGTTTCTTTATGACCACATGACACTTTGGGCTGAATTCAGCTTTGGTGTAAAGCCATTAATCTTTGGTGATTTTTCAGTGTGACACAAATCTGACACCTTGACTTCAGCTCTGACATCTTCATCAGCACCCCATAGAGAGGGTTCCCCCATGACCTTCCCAGAAAGCTAGTTTACCTTGAGCCATCCTGCGTAGAAGAAGAACTGTAACAGTGTGAAGATTGGAATGTAAATATCTAAGTCATGTCCCTGATACCCTTGGTCAGTATCCAAAAATTGACGCCCAATCAGGCAGGCAAAGAAAAAAGTATAGACTGCAAGAGTAACAACCTGCAAAGAAGAAAACTTCATTGAAATCATGTAATAATAGAGTCTTATGCACAAAGGAACACATAGCCAAAGGCCCCTGACAGCCTTTTGCCATGTAATTCACAAATCTGTAGGGAGGTATTACAAATAGAGAGGCCAGAGATATAATTATAGCCAGGAAGAAGACCCAAGACACGTAAAAATATTTCAGTGCTTCCTTCCCCCCTCCCAAATTATGCAAGGCCTCTGAAATATCACTGCATTAAATATAACCTCAAGAATTAGCCAGGCATCCATGATCCCATGGGAGTCAATGAGTGCTCAGCGGCTCAGAGACTATGGTCAAATCCATGGATGTTTTGGAACAAGCTCCCCTTTTATGGAAATTGTGTTTCAGATTTTGTGAAGGGTAATAGCTCAGTACCTGGGTATAGACCAGTGGAATTCCAACCCAGTCGTAACCAAACAAAAGACTACACCAAGACCGGTACTTGTTCATCTCCTAAATGGAAAAAAAAAAAAAAAAAGAAAAGAAAAAACAAACCCCAACAACCTAAAGTTCCATGGGGTTCAATTCTAAATTATAAACAGTTTGTTACAGTTGACTTTTGCACATACAAAAGGACATGGAAATATGTGAGTGTAGTATATTTAAATTGATACCATAACTATATCCAGTACCCTATTGCCACATTTGAATATTCACTTACCTTATGGAATTGGAATGCTAAATATATTCTGTATTTCCTCACAAATTATCTTTTGTTTCTACCTTATTTGCAGTCCAGCAATACATGAAAGATATAATATAACTTAAAAATCGTGTGAACATCTAATGAAATATTCAGGGAAATTGTCTTCCCAGAAACTGGTACTAAAGTTTTCAGAATGTCAAATTATTCTCTTCTTTTTCCCTGCAGCAATGAAACAAGTAAGAATTTCCAGTGAAGTTACAATAATTTTTTACTCATCAATTTGTCGCTTCAGTTAATATCTTCTTAGTCATATAAATACAATCCCAGTGAACTGCTGCTGTGTGTGCTTGAGTGCATAGAGAAAAGTGGTACAAATCCTGAGTAAGATCATTTAGATAACACCGGAGAGCTATGTACATTGTTTCAAATTATGTTAGTGAAAAGCTACTACATAGCAATTTCTGATTAGTTTTCTGTAGATTTACCATTTCTACTTACATTCATCAGTGCCTGCAGATCTACACTGTCTCGAATTCTTCCCTCTTTTCTTGCCTTTGATGCTAAATTTCCAAACCAGACAAATGGAACCCAGTATTTCAGGTGGGGAGACTTCAGGTCATCAAAAAGTTTTCTTTCATATCTTGTCATAAAGCCTGTTTACGCCCGCCCCCCAAAAAAAAACAAAGAAAAAAAATTACTAATTTATTCTGTGCTTTCAGTGCTACTGCTAATATAAACGTTTAATATGTTTGAATCTGTTTATGTGATATTCGTACAGAACTATGCAAAACACTATCTATAATTCTAACTAGTAGTCTCCTCTTTTTTTTTAGCTTTTTTTCCAGGATAGGTCTTTCTTGAAACAACTTCTTTTTGCAATAACTACCTATGCAAAATTCCTCTTGATCAATATATGCAATAATTTGCTGTCACCGGTTCTCATATCTGACTGCTGACAGATTGCAGATACATATAATACTAAGAATTGTAAAGATTTCTCTCTAGTTTCATATTCTGCTATCAGAAAAAAATAAGGGACGGGATATATCAGTCAAGAAACTATCACTTTTCAGCAGTGATGGCTTTTAGCATCATCTCAACATATGTTGTAAGGGCAGTTACGTGACCTTCTGATTCTGATAATTTTTTTGGTAAATCTGCAAAGCAGTAAGCAAGCAACAGAAGATACAAGTGCATGCATGAAACAGAGCTCAACAGAGAGCGTGCCTTCTGCCAGCAAAATACTTCCCTGCCAGATTGTGTTTCATGTTTTCTCTGGGGTTATGGAGGATTGCAAAGAGATGGAGAAGGAATCCTGCACCGAAATCCCGCTGCGGGCGAGACACGGGGCCAGGAGACCTGCTGGGAGGCTGCTGCAGGCTGAAGCTGCTCTCTGCCTGGCAACCTGCCTCGCCGGGGTGCTGGCATGGCACTGTGCTTCCCACAGAGTCCCCCTGGCCTTGTGGAGCCCTGCTTCCCACTGCTGCGAGCAGGTCCAAGGTCAGATAGCAGGGGAGCCTGGGCTGTGTATGACAAAACCTGCATCAGAGCAGCTCGCTGCCTGGGACGGGCACGGGAGCAGCTGGTTCTTGGAACAACACCTCTGCACCCCTGGGTAAGAAAGCTCTGGTCTGCTGTCCTCTTTCCACACAGCCTTTGAGAAGAACAACCTCAGAATATTCATTAGGGGGAACTTCATATTTTCCTCCTGTCCAAATCCTGGATTTTCTGGGAGTGGAGCAATCTTCAGGTTTGGAGGATCTTAGTTTTTGTTCAGTTGTGTGTCACCTACCAGATGGGTAAAAGTCTTCTTTTGCTGTGCTGACATTAGCTCTGAAACAAGACAAAGCAACATGGCAGCCCCATAATAAGTGGCTCAGCCAATCATCTCCAAGTTTGAGTGCTGAAAATTCAGTAAGGAAATTGAGAGTAGACAGGATTTTTTTTCTAGTCTCCAACTAGTAACTAAGAATTGGCCCATTGTTGCTAACATTGCTAAAGCTGCACGAAGCAGGAAAAAAAAATTACACAAACTCAGTTGTGTTTTGTATAAAAATGTAACTAAGATAAAAGGAGATTTGTTAAACACAGGGACCTTCTTAATTATTTTGTTGTTGAGATTCTACCGTTGTAACAGTGACTGTTGAAACAAGTCAACACAGAAGATACGAAACACTGCAACTACCAAGAAGAATACAAGGAGAGGACAGAAATTTCTGTGGAAGAGGAACTGTTCAGCAGCAAGACACACTATTCTGCAGTAGGCTGGAATAAGACAAGAGAATAAGACACAGCTCTTAACAGGTCCATGGACATTTTGCATCCAGCTCTCATAATCAGCTGCACAGAAATAATCAGGCAACCAGACAAATTATCCTGCTAGTCATGACTCCTGACTCCTGATAGTCAGTCCTTCAGGCTGCTTTTTATTTTTGGCTGGCCAGCCTGCTCATTATGGGACATGACAAGACATTTCTATCAAGCTGAAACAGACAGACATGATATCAGAAAATTGACAGTCTGGAGTAAACCCTGGATGCAAGTCACTTGAGAGCCTCTGGGAAGTCATTATCTGGGAGGACACAGCCTGAGGGGGTCATGAAGAACAGCAAAGCTCCAAGGATGGTTTCAGCACTCCACTGAAACTGAGTACCATTTTCTTCAGAGAAGCTCAACAAGGCCTTGTTTTTTTAGCAGTAACATTCAAATTGTAATTATTTTTCAAGTTAAGGTGTTTGTATTTATATTAATCACATATTCTCTTTGATGGATATTAATAATGCCTACTATTCTTACCACAGAAAATATTAAACAAGTCTGGACTGGGCTTACTGCTGGTGAAGGTTATGGCAACAATATGCGGTTCAGAACCACTTGTTACTACAGCAGCACTAAAGAAACACTTTATATTCCATCAAATACAGGGGAGGATATCAAACCTCAGTTAGTAAAATTAAATGGATTCTAAATTGGTCCACACTGTTTTTATTTTAGGAGTATTCAAAGTATTAACTGAAGAACTCTCTGAAGAATGCTGGTTTTGATAAGCACTGAAAGACTGGTGCAGCTCCCAAAAACTGGAAATAGTTGGCAAATACTGCACCAAGATCTTCAAAAGGCTGATCCAAGGAATGACAGGGCACTGTATGGTTGTGAAAGTACAAGAAGCTTGACATGGGATGCAATCAATCAGGAATCAAAAGAAAGACATATTAATACCAGCAGTGTCAGACAAAGTCATCTTATGGGAAAATTATTGCTGAGAACACAAGTTTGGCTGGAAAAAGTTAGTCATGCTCTCCTTCAAGTGATATGAAGAGTATTCAGTTGTCCCAGCAAAATGGAATGGTTTGAGACAAGGCTGGTTCAGGGTACCCACATCAAATACTCTGAAGACTAGCAATTAGAGAAGAAGGAACCAAACAGCAGTCATCTCCCACATCACCAGAATGAGCTAACAATGATCAAATAGATGAAAGTTTCACTTTGTGCTTCTCCATTACATGGGAAATAATGAATTGAGGTACTTCATTCAGTAGAGGGTCTGGGACTGCAAACTTCATCTGTCCACAGGTATTCATGTAGTACGGCTGACACCTCATGTGTCTCTTCAGCACTTCCTATCAGCTGTTGTGGGCTGCTCTCTGCAAGCTGCTGATACATTACTCATGTTTTTTAAGACTCGTGTTCTCGAGCATCCAACTTTCCTCTTGCACCTTGCAGCCAACAGGACTGGTACGTTCAGGACTGCTGCCAGGCATTTGGTGCTTGTGACCTACATGCCACAGCACTCGGCGTCATAGTGTCATGAATCTACACACATGTTCTCCCTACACCTCCATAAAGAATGCTGAAAATTGGAAAAGACTTCAGAAAAATGTTAGGAGTAAGATCCAGCAGTGAAGGCCATCCCCTGTAGGGAGATACTACAGAAGGTAAAGGTCCTAAGTTTATTCAGGTCTTTAAGCACTCTGCTAATAGGTAGCTACTGAGAGAAAATTATTTTTTCATCTAATTGAGAAAAAAATAACCCAAACGCATTACAAAAACCAGTCACTAGAAGATGACTCTGTGCAAGTTCAGACTGAGAATAAAATTTCACTTTTCAACAGCAAGTTCACCCTTGTGAATGTCAGTTCACCTAGGATGAGATGTAGTCCCTATTATACCCGGCTGACTTTTAAATCAGGGCTAGTTATATTCCCAGAAGGTACAATAGCTCAGTCAGAAATTGCACCATGATAAAGATGTTGTGAGTAAGCTTTTATGCCTTGTGTTATGGATGAGTCAGACTAGATTATCATGATACTCTTCTCAGATTTTAAATCTATGAATTTAAGCAGTTCATTTGCTGAAAAGGGAAATGTGTAGCAGTAGTTAAACTGTGGCAGTTCTCAGTTTGACAGCAAAATGCAAAATCGGCACAAGTTGTTGCAATGATGACTGTGCTGTAAGTATTAGATTCTGCCACTCATGTTCATATTAAATGTTGCACTCCCATGCAGTTTGATAAGTACTGATAGGGAGCTAAGGAGGGGATAGTTGCAGAGTACTGTCTTAATCACTGGTTGTTAATAGGAGCAAAATACACCATGAAGTGCTCAGTACCACATCAACAAAATTCTGTGGCACAATATTTATTAAAACCTACAGAATAAGTACTGAAATCCACAGAGCTGACTACACTAACAATACTTATAAAGCTTATAGTAGAATACGTTCCACCCTTAAAAAAAAAAAACAACCAAAACAAATCTTGTTTATCAGTCTACATTTTTTGTACAATGCTGTGACATTTTGTCTCTTTTGGAACAGATTGTCTTTAGCAACAGGGAGGCAGAGCTTCCAGAGCCTGCTGGAAATGTTGTAATTTTCCAGTGTGTCCTAGAAGCAGATTGCTGGGGAGAGTGATAGAAGCTCCTTGACCTTTCACAGGCTCAGGTAAACAGTTTTGTTGAACGGCACGAGAAAGAAAACTTCAATCCACCATAAATTATTATTTTTTTTTTTTTCAGTAAGGTAATGTATTTTGTATTTTTTCTGTTTTACTTTTTTTTAATATTCAAACTTCTCACACGCATTTGAAATGTGTGTAACTATATACACACTGCATATTTTAGCTTGCTACAACTTTGCTTACTAATCTCTGCCAAAGGAATAATTTTAAGAAATGCAAGACATTCAGTAAAAAATGTACAGCTTCCCTGATTTGGAACAGACCCCCACACCTCTGCACTGATGTCCTATCCCTGACTTCTGACCAAGTCAATCAGAAGGCAAGGGATCACACCTTGCTTTTAAATAGTTGGTGGTCCATCCTTCACAGACAAGCAAAGTCTTACATGATTGAACACCCCTCCCCATCATCACACTCATTGTGCTACCAAAACAAATAGAAAATAATTAATACTTAGTATATTTAGTCCTGGAAAGCTAAGGTGAGGTTGCAAATTTAAAGAAAAAACCCTTGGAGTTAGGGTTTTTAAAGTATTTTGCAACACTTATAATATGCAATCTATTTAAAATAAATTGACATAAGGATGTGTTTGTGAAAGTGCCTGCAGAGATCACTCTCTGATACTCTTCTGCTGACCACTTGCCCAACTAGGAAGGATGTTATCATTAATGGGAAACACATGAGCCAGATCCCTCCCTCTGGTCTTAGATCATATGCAAGAGATCCAAGGTGGGCCACCACTGGAAGAATGAATAGACCAATCTATTCACTCACGACACATAACATAGCAAAGAACGGAGCAGGTTGATTCCAAAACCAGGCAATGGGGGAAGGAAGGACCCAGGCAATCAGTCAAATCCAAATCACATAGTAATTGCCAGCAGAAAACCTCATCATTCCCTTCTTGTCTTGAACTTGTCCCGCTGTTACTGGGAACCTCTATTTGCTGTGAAGAGTCAGAGAACCCTCTCAATAACCAGAATCACCACACAGCACATCCACTGTATAAGCCTCCCAATTCCACTGCAAGCAGAATCAGTTCTTATAGAAGTGGCTTCTTTCCCCCCCTCCCAGTT